AAGGCCCATCATGGGAAGCACTGAACAGAAACTCTCACGTTCTGGAATCTTAATTGCTCAGGTGATGTTAATGCTTTGGGTGCAGATTAAATATGATGAATCTGCACTTTAACAATTAAGTTAGATGTACACTTCATGATGTCCAGGAGAATTTAGGTATGGGCTTTTTAAGTGCAAAGTACAATTTTCGTGTGCATGAAAATTTCCCGTTCAATTTCTCTTGCACAGGAGGGTGTCCCAGTATGTATCACACATCCTTAGTACCAAGTGACTTTCTTTTTGGAATGAAATGTCTTTGGACTTTGAAAAAATAAATTTTGAATAGGACTTAGAAATTCAGTGGTTTCCTATTTACAAGTGGCTCATTTTTTTGTAAGACCATTAAACATAAAATAGTCTGGGTGCTAGCGGGGAAGCCACTGCAGTCACAGAGGTGAGGTGGTTTGCCCGTGCTTTATGAATCCAATGACAGAGTTGTGACATGAAGTCCTGAGATCTACTCTCTATGCTTCAAGAATGAGATTGCAGTGTTATGAGCACTGTACATACTTACACATGATTTCCAGACAGTAGAAGAATCTGAATAATTTCATTTTTCTGTAGACAGAGCTGGCCACTGTATAGTTCAAAACAGTTGTGTTTGCTGTTGTAGATTTACAGTCTCAATAGTTCTCTTAACCAGATCTGTTAGCTGTCACCTATTGTATATTATTTTGGAAACAATACTGCTTATTCAAAATTATGTTTAATGAATGTCTTTTGAAATGTTGGCTGACATTTTAAACAGAGTTATGTATTAAGACTGCAGGTTAATTTTTCTTTTTGGTTGCTGGGATTTTTTTCTTTTGGTGGCCTTGTGTTCAACCTGATTTCTTTCTGCCCCAGTTCTGTTTCCCAAGGATAAATGCATGTGCCCTTGAAGCTCTCTGATAAAGCAAAATTTTAGATGCACTAAACAAACTTGTAAAGCCAAGTTCTTGTGATCAGCCTGGATAAATAATATCACACTGTAGTTTACTTATGTTATTACTGAAACGTACGTACTCTGCTTTTTTTCCAGGGAGGTCATTACACCTATACCTTTTCCTTATAAAAAAATGTAAAAGTACATGCTAAGCAATCCAGCTCCATGGAAAGCACTGTCTTTGTGAACTGATCCATTAAAAACAACACCATATTGCTATTAGTTCTCCTTACATAAAGTCTTTTGAAGAAAACATATTTTTTTCCCACAGGTACAGCATAGTTTATGTACTTTATAACTCATAACTAGCATATATCTGAGAACAGCTCACATGTAATTGCCATTTAATGATCAATATCTTGGCTGCTACAACTATTTTGATATTATGGAATTAAACATATAGTTACACATTTCTTCAGCAATATAGGCACTACCACTAACTTGTCATCTGTCTTCATTTTTATGTTAGGTATGTAATACACATAAATGTGTTTCAGATATGTTTCTGATAAAATGTGCTGGTCATCGTGGAGGTTAAGACTGGCAAAATTTGTGCTATGGTTTTCAAAGCAGTCTCACTATAAAAGGCCTTTAAATTGTGCAAAAATTCTAAAAAACTACCAGTGATGACTTTCTCTAGAAGTGCAATCCTTTCAGTAACAGGGCAATAGTTAAACGAGCTTAATGGAGTTCTTTCATAATAAGCACTGTGCAAACCTCTGAACCTGTTGAGTGTGCCCTTTTGGCTGGTCTTTATTTAGAATGTAAATGACTCTGACATCTTTTCCTTGCATAGATGTTTATTGGTTTACTTACATACCGAGTTCTTGCATTACTCTGTATTTCCGAGAGGTGCACTGATGCATTAATTTCAGGAACATACCCAAATCCAATGTAACAGTAGTAGTGGCTCTTAGTGTTGGGCTTAACATGGTTTGCTATCTTCTAATTAATAAGCAGAGACATGGAGGAGCAAACTGTTTCAAAAAGCCCAGGACTAAGACTGATCTTCTCAAGGGTGTTGAGGCTGGGGCAGTTCAGCACCATGAATTGACGATGACGCTTTGATGTGCTGTAAACATAGATGCCTTCTGTCAGAAAGACAGACAAGAAGTAGTAACATGTTGGCATTGAGGGTGCTCTAGTCTATGGCAGTCTTCCCCATTGCTAGGATGAGTTGCTGGCACCACTGGTGAGCATGAGTATGAATGTGGGCCACGTTTTAAGCAGTCTTCCTTTTCATGTGATTGCTACTAGCTGCAGGTAGGAATATGGCCAGTTAATCTTTTGTGTCAGTGCACAGCGTCTGGGTTTAAAG